CTGGTGGTGGTCAGAGGGCCCGGTGGCGCCTGTGTCCGGCAGCCTCGCCTCTGTCAGTGCGCCCCAGGGTGGCTGTGGCTACAATGTAGCTTGCCATTGCCTGTGTGTGAATGACTGAATGTTGTGTAAAGCGCTTTGGGGTCCTTAGGGACTGAGTAAAGCGCTATACAAATGCAGGCCATTTACCATTTAACATAAACTATGAATATATATTAAGACGTTATGTATTTGTACTTCTTACCTGCTCATTCTCTCCTTTCAGTTCAGTCAGCTCTTTGTCAGACTCTTGATTTTTAATGACAGACTTGAGATGTATTTTAGACTCACACTGCTGAATAACACCAAAAGAGAAACATGCAGGTCTAAACACAAATTTGTGTAAACTCATATTGTTTATTTTTTGTTTTTGTAGTTTCATGTTGTGCGTATTGGAGATTTCTCAGTTTTAAGATTAAGATGAATTATTTATGTATTATCTAAAGTTATGAACAAAATCTTATAGAGCAGGAACACATTGACATGAAATGGCATGTACATAATAATGAAAAAAGATTAACCTTCTCTTTTAAAGTTGTGACTTCTCTGACAGGGTCCTCCCTTCCATGCCGAGTATTCTGAAGGTTTTTGAAGAAATACCTGGACTGAGATGAGGCGCAACAGACATGTAACACACTTTCTTTGAGCAAACATGCTAGAAAATCATATTAAAAGTAGTTGTGAAGTAATGGAGTTTTCATTACTCTGTGCATAATAAATGTAAAACAAACAGTGACTGTATGTTACGGCTTACCAAAGGAAACCAGGGTGACTGGGATTCAGCAGCTTGGTTTCCCTCCAAATGTGAATGAAAACAAAATATTTACATGATTACCTATAAACACATGCAAGCACTTTCCGAACAGTGTGAAATGTATTTTAGTCTCCATATTTTTTTTATTTTTGATTCACACATTTTTAATTGTGTTAGTTTTCCAGAAATAACTCATAATGGTCAGTTTTAATTTTTGCACGGCCCAACAGAGCAAAGGGCACAGATTATAATGTGTTGATCCACTTTTAGCTTTTAGCATAGGATTATTTTTGATATGCTTATACAATGTTACTTTTCCATCTAGAGTTGCATTAATTTTTCACCAAAATCCTGTATTAATGTTGGGAGTCAGAACACTGTGTAAAGTCTTGGGCTTAAGGTCTGAACTCTGTGCTGTCCAATTTTTGTTAAAGTGATGGCTCACGAATGCTGCATTGTCACGTTAGAAAATCCTTGTGGCATCAGTGGAAAAAAAATAAGAAAAAAAAAAATATATATACACTGATGTAAAAACTTGGCCATTCAACATAAGAACGTAGTGAACAACCTAATATTTTGGGCACATAAAGTTGCTGAAGCTTGAGTTGATCAACTAAAGCAACCCCAATTGTTAACACTGTACTCATAGGAGTTGATCTTAACAGTACATCACTCCATGCACTATGTGCACCATGATCATGATCACTGAAGACTACATTTCTTCCTCGAAGATGACTGTTCACCACTATTGTCATAATTTTTTATAAAGTACAGTTTTTCACTAAATTCTAATGGTTTCTGTTTTTACCTTAGTTGTTTTCTTTGCTTGATGCAGGTCAATAATTTCTATCTAGAGTAATCTTTTCCATGAACACAGGACCTTCCAACACAGTTGTTTAAGAAAATGCACTTCAGTCAGTTGAGGTTAAATAACGTTTTGCCAGATGTGACGGTTGCTTAGTTAAATCCAGGTGTTGTTGTTTTCCTTTGTACAGGTCATGTATTTCACACTTGTGTTGAAATTAATTTAATTTAGACCTACCTGGTTTTCCTCAGTTTCATTCATCTCTGCTTTATTATCCGTGTTTTCCACAGCCTCCTCGACATGTTTTGCACTGAACAACTGAAAACAGACAAATACGTATATAATATGTATATAGAATAATTATATGTATATAAAATAAGGAAGTAATACAGTTGCCTCTGGAGTTGATTACTAGAGACCTTCAGAAATTATATAAAATATATATTTATTGGTATTTACTAAACAAACATCCTGGATAGCCTGGAAGTGTTTCTGTTTTTGTATTTACAGTGATAGAAAGAGGAGAATTAAGTAGAAAGTAGTTTGGTTGTTACATCTAAACAATTGCACATTGTCACATTCTGTTTTATCAGATCTATCAGTATTTAGCATTGTGTTACCTTGCTTACACTAAATGCTTCATTGAAAACACAAAAGTGTTTTTATTATAAAGTTCTAGTGTTTTACTTTATTTACTGAACCTGTGATCACATTGGTGTTTCTTACATGACTGCTTGTGTTAGCACCTTCTTCCAAAACCTCGGGTGGCACTGGTTCATGTGCCATTAGTTTTCCGTGCTCATTTTCTTTCTGATTTATGTCCCTTTTAGAGTAACTGTATTTTTGTCCCTTCTCCATTTCATCCAACTGGTTCCTTCTTGTCTCTGTGTAAAATAAGAACAGTAGATTTGGTTTTAACAACCAGTTACCCTGATGATAACAAATAAAACTAGATTATCTGTTTTTATTTAGATTCACTTCATTACACATTTTGAAAATTCCTATTAAACACATGAGAATAATTTCCCATGTACATGAGGTTATTAATTTGTGACTTACTGGTTATTTGTTGTCTCCATTTAAACATAAACAAGCCACTTGCTAAAGTTAAAATGGTGCAAACAGTCAAACAAACAATGATGGGTACAGCAGGACTGCACACGAGCGGGAAGAAATCATCTGCAATGAGAGCATATACATGAATGGCATGACATTTTGATCAAACTAGACTCACTTAAAACCAAAGTTAACATCATGACACATATTTACAAATTGTGTTTACCTGGAACATGTATGTGTGTCTCTCTGCTCTGGTTGGTGTTCCTCTGTTGGACTCTGCAGGTGATGTTGTTGCTGTGTCTCTTCTCCACAGTCACTCTGCTGCTGACAGTATAGAGGTCATCAGGCCCTCTGAGGGTCTCTGTAGGTCCAGCAGAGAGGAGGTTTCCCTCACCGTCCAACCACAGCAGCTCAGGCTCTGGATACCAGCCTGCAGACTCACACTGTAACACCACTCCGCTTCTGGCTTTATTAATGGCTGATAAACTGATGACAGGCCCAGAAATGGCATCTGATACTGAGCAGAAGATAAAGAATAAAACTGAAGTATAAAAATAAACCTGCAGCATGTACTCAGACCTTTCCTACTCTCAGATCCATAAGTATTTGGACAGCAACACTTTTTGTAAATTTGCCTCTTTAAAGTACAATAGTAGATTTTAAATCAAATGATCACAATGTTACTAAAGTGCAGCATTTTACTTTTAATTAAAGGGTTAAGAGGGTTTTGTGCCACGGTCAGTTAGTTTGGAGCATCTGATTGAATTTAAGCAGAGTATGATTTTATTCATTTAAGAAACCATTCTGCTACTTCTGTCAGCACTTACATCATCAGTTAACACGAGTGATGGAGAGTTAATTTCACCAGCTAATGAATGCAAGTTCTAACAGTTAAAAAAATAATAATTCCTTTCAATTTGCTAGGGATTAACAGGTAGCAGGCCTCACCTAGCTGTAAAACTGGGGACTATAATTCAGTCAATGCAACACTTTTGTTAATCCCTTTAAATTAATATTGGAATTTTGCTCTTGAATCATATCTTGGAACATTATTTTTAATTCCTTTGTCCAGATACATAATAATATGATTATATTTACTTACCAACAAGTAGCTGAATGAATGAGTTCTTTTCCAGTGCTGGAATAAAACATTTATACGTTCCCTGGTCAGATATTTTCACATTAGAGAGTTTCAGTGAAATGTTTCCATGTTTCAGCTCATCATGAAACAGTGATGT